CATGTGTTAGGAACCTCATAGTCAGTCCTATAAAGGAGGTATTATTTTTATTATTACTTTATAAATGAGGAATCTGAGGCAATGGTTCAACATCACAGAACTAGCATGTCAGCTAGGACCTCAACCTAGGTCTTATAGACTTCACACACACACACACACACACACACACAAACAAACAAACAAAAACACATTACTATTAGCTCAGTGAGGACATTTGGTAATACTCTCATAACATGAAGTTATCAGGGATAACTAATGCATCAATATCATTATCCAAAAGATCAACAGTCCAGAATAATCGACCAAATTTAAAATAATGTAAATGGCAGAAGGTCTAAAAACAAAACAAATTCAGAGGAATAAAGCAGCTACACAACTACAGAATGGGAGAGAGCTTATCAACAACACATATAGAAAAGTCTTATCAGTTATAATCATAGAGTGTGTTATGGTTTAGATGCGAAGTGTCCCCCAAAAGCTCACGTGTGAGACAATGCAAGAAGGTTCAGAGAAATCATGGGGTTGTAAGAGTCTTAACCCAGTCAGTGAATCAATCCCCTGACAGGGATGAACTGAATGATAATTGAAGTGGCAGATTGTGGCTGAAGGAGGTGGGAATTGGGACATGGCTTTGGGGTATATATTTGTATCTAATGAGTGGAGCTCTCTCTCTCTCTCTCTGCTTTCTGATCATCATGGGAGCTGCCTCCCTCTGCCACACTCTTCCACCATGATGTTCTGCCTCACCTCAAGCCCTGAGGAATGGAACCTGCTATCTATGGACTAAGACTTCTGAAACAACGAGCACCTAAATAAACCTTTCCTTCTCTACAGTTGTGCTGGTTGGGTCTTTAAGTCACACTAGTGGAAAAGCTGACTAAAACAGTGTAATGCATAAATAGTAAAATATGGCTTCTAGAAATATGAACATGACTTTGGTCCATATTAAATGACTGAGAGGGCTCAAAACAAAGGAGGGCCTAGGCCTACTGGGCCCTAATTTTAGTGAGATCCTATTTGCAGTGTTCTATGCTGAGAATCGCATTTTAAGAGAAACTTAATCAAGATGGAGAAGTGTGGAAAGACCTGGGAATACTTAGCTGGAAATGAGAAGATGATAGGAGTAAAGGAGCTGTTTTCAAATGTACAAGGGCCATTTCTCAAGTTGCTACTTGCAACCAGAATGAGAACCATCCTGGAGGGACACTCTACCTTTCTGTGTCTTCAACATTTATGACCAATAGTGGGCCCAGGCCCTGGCTACCAAACCAGTCCCTGGAGAGTTTCAGGTAAAGACAGCAAGAAGAACTGGTTCCCAGATTAGTATGCAAATAATAAAACCTGCCCTATACATAACGTGTGCACACACACACACACACACACACACACACACCAATCAACACACAAACAAGCTTTGCTAGCAGCAGCCAAGCGAGGAGATAAATATAAAGGTTATACCAGAAATTTTGAAAAGTCTAAAGAACAAAACCATCAACCAGGGAATAAGTAATCAACCAGAGTAAAAATAAATAATAAATAAAACAATAAAAGGATGTCCCAACATGCAATGTTAGATGACAGTGGGACAATGTTTACCATGTTCTGAATTTTTATCCAGATTATCCTTCAGAATGAAGGTAATATACAGGTAGTCTCAAGGAGGCTAGAATTCAGCTGACTGTGGTCACACACATCTGTAATCCCAGTAACTAGAGAGGCTGAAACAGAAGGATCACAAGTTCAAAGCCAGCCTGAGCAACTTAGTGAGGTCCTAAACAACTTAGCAAGAGCCTGTCTCAAAAAATATAAAGGGCTGGAGATGTGGCTCAGTGGTTAAGGGGCCCTGTGTTTAATCCCCGGTACTAAGGGAAAAAATGAAGAAGGAGAATTCAGGGAATATACCATAAGACCTTCTTGAAAACATTGTTGCAGTTGGAATTGCAGGCAACTAGAAGGTGAATCAAAGTAAAGAAGGAAATGGGAAAGCCAGGCTAAGAGAATCAGAAGTGACCATTGAATCCCATGGGATATATGTGGTGGAAGCGAATACAAATCTTAAACCTAAAGGTCAAGCTAATAGGATCAAAATCAGATAGTATTAGGAAGAAAGCTGGAGAAAGTCATGAATGTTTACTAGAAAGTCAAAATATCTTGCCTGGCAACGAAACAGTTGTTATAAACACTCCAATCTATTACGTTTTTTTTTTTCCAAATAACCTTTTCTTTTTAATTGCAGAGGACTCTTAGGAGGTAATATCTATATTTATCTGAAGCTTGGCATGTTCATCTTAACACTTCAGTTGGTTTTTTTGAGTAATAGTGTACTAAATGTAATAGTGTACTAAAAATGTCAGGCATAGCGTGGCAGATACAGTAGATTGGATTGCTAAACCTCAGGCTATTGCATCTTATTGCATCTTTCAGTTCTTCAGGGCCTGAATGATAAAATTGGTATCTCCAGACTCCCTCATGTTCCATAGGGATTTAGATGACACTGGTCAAGGGCACTCATGTGAGAACTAAGTTTAGCAGTTTGGTGGGAAAAAAAGAGGTGATACAAGGGTGGCATTTGTACTTAGCACCAACAGTTACATTGTGGCTCTGGATCCCACAGATCTGGGGGGACTTCTTGATTTCAGGATCACAGTGAAGGCAACCCCATGGTTCCTGGAGCCACCATTGAGGTGGTGGCTTCTTGTGTCCAGAGCACACTGAGCCAAGGCTGGGATGTATTCAATTCCTGAGGCTGTTGAAACAAATTATCAAATACACTGTGCCTAAAATAGTAGAAATTCATTCTTTTATTGTTCTGGAGACCAAAAGTCCAAAATCATTATCAGTAGGAGACAGCTGGGCTCGCATCTCTCCAGAGGCTCAATGGGAACTCGTTCCTTGCCTCTTCTATCTTCTAATTGCTACCAGTTTTCCTTTGCTTGCAGCCACATCATCCTAGTGCCTACTTCCATCTTTAATGACCTTCTTCTTTTCCATCTGCATCAAATCTCTTAGAAGGATCCACTCTTAACAATCCAGAACACCCCTATCTGAAGATTCTCAACTCAATCACATTTATATAATGTCATGTTCCCAGGCTCCAGGAATGAAGATGTGGATATATTCTGGAAGGCTATTTTCAGCCTATCACTGGAATCTGAATGTGAGATAGTAGCTTCTTGGGTCTCCTGATTGTCCAGGGGTAGATAACATCTGACATAGCAGCTTTGAAGTGTTGTTCTGGGTATTAGTTCTCAAAGCCAAGCCCAATACCTTCTCCTTTCATAATTGCCTTTGCACCCAATTCCCTCTTTACTTAATCTGCAAGAGTGTTTCTCTAATGCGCAACTAAGTCCTGAATCCATCATAACCATCAATAGGATCACATGTTGACACAACTGTTTTGTTTATCCCTGTATATTTGTATCTTATTCAAATCTGTCATAGACTACAAATTTACTATGCTAACATGAAAGAAGAAAATGTTGTCTTTTTCAAACTATTTTTAAAAATAAATGCTCTGCTCCTTGTACCTTCCTTCAGCCATGTGGTAAGAGTTGTGATGGAAGGAAGGATGGATCTAAATTTTACTTTAATCTATTAAAGTTAATGCAATGATGTAATTTAAGGAGTTTTCATTCAGGTAAATTCTCAGTCCCTTGGATTTTCTCTCATCTCATTCTTGCTCCTATCCAAAGTAAAGTCTGTCTTTATGAGGTAGCTTCAGTGGAAAGGGGAAGACAAAGTCCTCAAATATATGCTCAATCCTATCATCAGTGACCTCTATAGTGAACTGGCTGCTGTTTCCTGAACTGGTGACTTTGAGACACTCTCCACTGGAGTTTATGGCCCTGCCCCTTTGTCTCTGGTCTTGAAGTCTCACACATTCAGGCTTCTTCCCTCCCTAAATCCTGTCATTACCCTGCATTCCTGCCCTTAGACATGCAGGAAATTCTGGGTCTCTTGAAGGCCACTCATAAGCCATGAGGGAGGAGAATCACGGCTTCAGGTTGGATTGTTTCTCTGGGCCCCACCCATGCGCTGCGTGATTACCTTGTGCCATGTTGGATGTGGGGCAGGGTACAGAGCTGTTCTGGAGATTGGTAACCTTTTTGGTATATACATGGGGAAGCCCTTCAGTTCTTGGACTCTCCTTTGCTATCTGAATGTTCTTTCTTTTCTATACACAAAATTAGTTCTAAAGAAGCTCATATCTGACTTACTCAATCCCTGTTTGACCTTCATTCTCCCATAACTCCTGGAACCAGAAAAGGGCAGGCTTGGGGGTTTCTGTTTCAGCTGCACCATGCCCTTCTTCTGACAGGCTCTTCCATGCCAGCTGCAGGGTCTAACCATGCCCAGCAGGAGGTCCACTCTATGCTAGGAAAGAAACACCCTCCAGGTCCAGCTCTGATGTTTAAGGGGCAGATAAATAGCTTGAGAATTTCTCTCTCTCTGGATCATGGCTGGCTCTCCTGAATATTTTCTTGTTTGAAATCAAGGGGTCAAGGAATTCATCTGTGAACAATAGTCCCTGTTCAGGCAGTACCTGTTCTTTCCCAAGAACAATGAGCCTTGTAACTCAGTAACCAGCCATAATGCCAGAAGCCTGCTGGGGAACAAATTAAGAAGGAAATGAGAATGGATTAGTTTAATATTTTAAAATATGATTTGTTAACCTTTGAGAGATGACTGGAATGATATTAACCAAATTTTAATCATAGTCACTGTTGGATTCAGGCAATTTAGGTGGATTACTTTAGTCTCTGTACTTTGGGTTACTGTGTGAATTTTTAAAAATAAGCTCTGTTCTAATAAAAATGTCCCTGATGACTTGGTTTAAATGTTTTCTTTCTGCGACTCCTCTATTTTTGCTTCCATACTAAGAACTAGTATCACGTTGACTCCCCATAATTCATTTATTTATTCATTAATTTATTGAACATCTATTGTGTTCCAGATCATACATTAAATATCAAGGATATAGAAATGAATAAATGCCATATTTTGGAAAACCACAATTTAGTAGAGAACACCAAACACACAGCTCTAGGGCATTGTGATAAGTATGATTCCATGATTTCATGACCTAACACATCATGAAGTACTGACTCGATTTCACAACACACCTTTCTTAAGTATCCACGGAGGAGCCAGGGCCCAGGCAAGGTGGTAGGGATGGAAACATAATTTCCTCAGGAAAGTTTTTCATCAGGAGGTCTCGGAGCTTTCAAGCCAGCAAGACAAATTTGCCCCAAAGACTGCACAGGACAATTACAAGACGGGACTCTCTTCGCTTTCCGTCTCCACCCACTTGGTCTATCTGAGGAAACAAAGAGATGTTCTAAGAAGTCAAAGTGACAGTTTCTGTCTCCAGATCGAACAAAACACAGGAGACAGGATGGGTAGCTACATAAAGCTTGGTTGGGGCTGTCCAGCCACAAGGAAGGAAGTGACTAAGAGGTGATTTTTTTGTTTGGTTTGGTTTGAGTACTAGGGATTGAACCCAGAGCACTTTACCACAGAGCTACATCCCAGCCCTTCTTAGCTTTTACTTTGAGACAGGGTCGTGCTAAGTTGCTGAGGCTGGCCTCTAACTTGCAATCCTCCTCTCTCAGCCTCCCAAGTTGCGAGGCGTGTGCCACGGATACAGGCAAGTCAGAGGGTTTTTTGCATCATTCACACTGAAGGGCTCTCTCCAAACCTGGCCTCCACATTGAACCAACTCATCAGCTTCCCCCAGTACAGTGTCATGGTTCCTTCTCTTCCAATCCCACTGCTGAGCAAATACAGAGATTGCTTGTTTCAAGGTAGACTGTTGAAAACATCTTTTGTTTCTCATTTCTATTTCTAGGTATGACACTGACTTGCTGAGTCATATTTGGCAACCTCAGAATCTTTCTTTTCCCCTGTTGATCTATCTGGATAATATGGTTTATGAAAAGCTCTAAGACATTTACCTGGAAAAAGATACCCATATTAAGGGTTTTATATAAACATGTAAAAAGATACCCATGTTATATAAACATGTAAAAAGATACCCATATTGAGGGTAAATATGTTTACATGTAAATATAATATATAAACATGTAAAAATAATAGTGTTGTTTACCAAAAGGCTTTTACTTACATGTAGATGAGCTAAAACATACCTCTTTGGCAATAAAAATATTTTGGTCTCATTTGTTCTTTGGTGAGATGAAAGCTCTTGGAAAACAGGACTATTTGTTTACATATTTTTATTCCCAGCATTCAGCCTGGTACGATATAATGAAACCAGGTGTTCTCTACCTGGTCCTTGAACTCCGTGGGGAATCTATATATGCTGGCAAACAGCCTAGAACTGTCATGAAATCCTGTGGGTGCATGTGGGTTTCTCTTGAGGTGCAAGTCTATAGAGCTCTCATCTAATTTTTAAAGGTGTGATCCAACAAAGTAGCTAAAAACCATATAAGGAGACTCTTAATATACATGTATTGAATGAGTAATTAAAGGGTTGCTATTTTTCTTCCTCCAACTTCTGGTTACCCTAATACTAAACTGAAAGGGCAGAAAGAAAAAGAAAAGGGACAGTTGAACATGACGATCATTTTTCTGATTCTGAAGTCAGGGAGAGGCAAAAGATAGGAAGATTCTCACTTAGCATTATGCTCTTGCCCAAGCCGTGGCTATGTGCCTAGGTTATTGACTTTAATTTAATAGCAAAATACTGTAAAACCCTTAATATGAGTATCTTGAAAAGAGAAGATACTGAATAAATATTTGATGGTGCTAAGAAGGAAGCAAGATAAAGTAAAAGTCTAAAGATGTTGTCATTAAAGCTCTGCTAGAACTTAATTTTGTCAAAGATTTTAAGAATTGGGTTATAAATATGGCTTGTAAATTGATGATCTTGTAACTTTAAAAAGCTAAAGTGTATTGAGGAGAGCAACTAAGAGCATATCAGTTTTTCTAAATTTATGTTGCTTTACTTGTAACTTTAAAAAAAAGTCTCCTTCTCTCCAATAAACCCAAATTGCCTTGAGATTGGGTCCATGTTTTGTTTTGTCTTGTTTTGTTTCCAACTTCCAGTTATCCTGAGCACGGGGTTTTACTTTCATTGGTGCTTTAGAAATATTATTGCTGAGAAAGATGAATGAGAAGTATCTAGCTAAGGATAAGTTCTCAGAAATGTCTCTCACATGTGAGATTTGTCTGTTTCTGTGGTAGGGGATACAATAGCCTGTATCAAATCCAGAGCTAGGGTACAGTTTGAATGTGTGGAACATGGAAAAAAAGACCACATCTACTTCCTGGTTTGGGAACAAGAGGAAGTCACTCAATTGAACTGTAAACATTTAAGTCTCGGGTTAGGGGTGTAGCTTAGGGGTAGAGGCTTGGCTAGCACATACAAGGCCCTGCGTTTGATCCCCAGCACTGCAAGCTAAGTGACAATAACAATAATAAAGTCTGTATTTTTCAATTCTTGCAGAATTTTAATTTTTAACTCTAATATTTTAAAAACAGATACAAAAGAACATGAAACAAATGAACAGCCTCGTGAATTATTATATAATCCTTATAACATTCTCATAACCAACACTAAAGTCAAGAAATAGATTTGGGCCAGCCACTGCAGAAGCTTTTGCATGCATGCATCCGGTCTCTATTACAGTCTCCTCTGTCCTTCCTTACCCTTCCTTCCCAGAAACTATTATCCTGACTTTTTTAATCTTTTTTTTTTTTTTTTTGCATACCGGGGAATGAACTTGGGGGCACTCAACCACTGAGCCACATCCCCAGTCCATTCTGTGTTTTATTTAGATACAGGGTCTCACTGAGTTGCTTAGAGCCTCACCATTGCTGAGGCTGGCTTTGAACTCAAGATCCTCCTGTCTCAGCCTCCATAGCTGCTGGAATTACAGGTATGCACTACCGCACCCAGCTCTAATCTTTTTTTTCCAATTTGTTCTAGTGAGTTATACATGACAGTAGAATGCATTTTGACACATCATACTAAATAGAGTATAACTTCTCATTCTTCTGACTGTACATGATATAGAGTTACACTGGTTGTGTAATCACATAAGCACATAAGGTAATAATGTCTGATGCATTCTACTATCCTTCCTACCCCATACTTTCTCCCTTCCCTTCACTCCCCTCTGTCTAATACAAAATATCTCTTTTATTCTCTAGTGCCCCCCACTTATTGTGAATTAGATCCATATCAGAGAAAACACTCAACCTTTTATCCTGACTTTTTATAGCAGCATTTCTTAAAGTGTGGTCTCTGAACCAGAAGTTTCATTATCGTCTGCCATCTTAATAGAAATGCAGATTCTAGGGCTCCATCACAGACCAATTAAATTAGAAACTCTTGGGGTGGAGCACAGCATTCCATAGTTTAAGAAATTCTCCAGGCGATTCTCAGGTGTGTCTAAATTTGAGAACCATTATTGATAGTATTCACTTGCTTATGTTTCTTTGTTATCACCAGACTATGTACCCATAAACACTCTAGTTTGTTCTCACCTGTTTTTAAAATTCAACATGTCTTTAAACCTCTCTTAATATTAAGTTTTCTTGTTCAGCCCTTTCTTGAAGTTTTTCTGTTAAGGAACCTAGGCTGTTGGATCTGTACAATTGCCCGCAGTGTGGACTTTGCTGATTGTAGACTTATTGTGCAGTTCAACAGATTCTTCTATCCTCTGTATTCCCTGCAAATTGACAACCAGATCCAGAGGCTTAATTGGATTTCAGTTTGACCTCATTGACAAAAGTGTAGGCTGCGTTCTGTTCTGTCAGGTACATGATGTCTGCTTGTCATTCTTGGGAAATGAGAAGTTGTTGATAATACCTAGGTTCATTGTATTAGAGATTATAAAATGGTGATATTCTAGTCCTATCATTTATTTTTCAGTTATTGCCTTAAACACTTTTATAGAAGACTGTTTTCTCCTCAGAGAGTCAAGGGTCATAAGTTTTCTCTCAAATAATGGAAGCTAAAGAGGAAAACAGAAAATAAAGATCAGGGGTTCTCATGAAAACAGAAGGGAAATCAGCAGAGCAGAGGAAAGGGACCAGAAAGGAGGGAGGAGGGAAAGGAAAGGGGAGATACTGGGGAATGATATTGACCAAATTATAGTGCTATATTGTGTGCATGTGCAAAATGAAACCCATCATTATGTACCACTGTAACACAATTCTTAAAAATGGGGGGAAAAGCTATTTTCCTCATCTATTAATCCAGTAGTGCAAGTTACATAGAAAAAAAGCCAGTAAAGGCTCGATTCTTTCCCATTGTTTTATCAGTTTTCAAGATAATAAATTAGTTTCCCATCATTCATGAGAGTTGTAGTAATCAGAATATCCCAAAGTTACCCATTTTTTATATCAGTTCCAGTCTACGGAGAAGCAATCAGCAGGTGGGACTAAACATGCAAGAAATTTTGGAGGGGAAGCAACTTGTAAAAGTGAGGAAATGAGGGTAGCAGGGACACAGGGCACGTCTAACGGTGAAAGGGAGTTTGAAGGAAGGAGAAGGGGTAGGAAGAACCTTGGAATGCAACTCAGGCTTAAGAACCTGTAGGGGCAAAGGGCTGATATTATCTGTTGCAAGTCCTATAACCAACCAGCTGAGGTTCTGCACTAAACACCCAATGGCGCCCATTCATTGGCTGGGAGCAAGCACGTGGAGGAGGCGTGGCCTCAATACTAACCCAGGAGGGGTTCGGGGATGGATTCAGACTGCTGGGGCTATCAGTGAGTCGTACCATGGGAAGTTGAAAGTCTGAGGCCCTGGATGATACAACTTCATCCCCCCTTAGACATAACAGACTCAAAATGAGAGTACCATATTACCATGACCAATATGATCACTGAAAAGAGTTAAAATATTTTTGTACAAGTTCTCCCTGTAATCTCCCCTTCTATATTTATAGTGTTAGAATATAATAATTACATATCGTGTTCTCACCCTTGTCTCTCTCATTTAAGATGTTCATATTTTTACAAATCCTCTGTCAGGTTAAAATTACACACATCCTCTCCCTCTACCATCTCCTCTGCCTTTACCAATAATCAATTAAAACTTAAAACTTTCATATTTGAGAAAGGAACTGAAATTTGGGAACACAAGCTGATTACTATTAGTGCTTTAATTAAACTATAATAGATCTATGACCCTAAGACATTTGACGTCACATGGGACCCCAAAGCCCAAACTGGATGATCCAGAGTTGATCTGAAAGCTCAGTAGGTAGAAGCTGTGCCCATTTTCCCATGCTGGGATAATTCACATCCCAGGGCCCAAAGCAGGGGTGCAAAATAATTGTGAATCTTTTAGATAAAAATAGAAGACTCTGAAGACAATGTGCCTTAGAGCAGGCTTCTTTAATGACCCATACATTTCAGGAGCTCATGGGGCCGGGGGCATAGGTAAAGCTCAACCCTTTAGCTGTTACAGATACTTGAGTGGGAAGCATTAATCTATATATAGCTCAGGTATTAAGAGGGAGTTTTTTAGCTTTTTAAACATAATTTAAATAACAATAAGTGAAGATTCATAAGGAAACTGGTACAGCAGAACAATTATTCTAAAGCACACGCTTTAGTCTGGGATTTGTGTCTTCCCTCCCCTTCCTTATTCATGGCCCCAGAGTTTTCACAATACAAAATGGCTCTGTAGATAAGATAAGTATACAGAGACAGATCCAGGCAAACTCAAATTCGTGAGAAGAATCCCATTAAGATTCCCAAGATGAAGGCTCTCTGTTTAGTGCCACTAAACTTTTTAATAATTTACCCTTGGATGAATATATGGAAAAATTACAAAGGATTTATTTGGTTTTCTCTATGAGAATTCTGGTTACTTTTTTCTCCCATTTTCTTGATCTTTACCAAAAAAAAATGAATAATGCTAGTTAGCCTTACAGATGCTGGTGGTCTGGTTCAGAGTGCTCACCTGGCTGCTGTGGAGATCACTGTCTGGCGTCGCGGTGGGCAAGGCAACTCTCCCCTGGCCTGGAGCAACAACTTCTCTTTGCGGAGAAATCCATGTTCGGTGCAACACTTTCACTCCTGGTCTAAGTCCCATCTTGCCCCTAAGATTTAAGAAGAAGGAGGATAAGAAAGCAAATGGGCTTCTGGCTTTGGATCCTGACTTCTCCTCTGGGCTATACTCTTCCCACTCAAACCAAACACCTCCCACCTGCCAAGAAAAGAATCTGGCATTGAAATATAATCAGACTTGTAAAATAGAACATGGGGTGATTATTTTAATTATAAGAAGATCCTTCATTTTCCAAGAGGAGCATTTGCCAATAGATTCCTTTAAATAACCAATTCCCTTGGCATGTTTAAAGGAGATATGATTGACAACAACATGACGCATGTGGAGCTTTTTTGGAAACATATTTCATGCATGTCATTTTGGTGGCCTTGTCCAAGAAGGATGGTGGTGATGCAAGTGAACCCAGGTTGCATTAAAATAGCATTTCTAGAACCAAAGTGGCAAGAAATCATCTTTGAATACCCTGTGTCTGACACGAGTGTTATGAAACCAGGCCATGTCCTTGTCCTTTCTGCTTCAGCCAATACTGGCTTAATTAGATTTGTCCTGAAATTGCAGTCTAGCAGAGGGGGTAAGAGCATAAGCCCTGGAATTTGATTGCCTGGATTTAAATCCCAGTTATGCCACTTAACCAGTTCTGTGACCTTATGGGAGTTAAATTTAACTTCTTTGAGCCTCTGTTTTCTCATCTGGAAACTGAATTGACATAAGCATTAAATGTGGTAAAGTATTAAATGTGATAATATAGGTAATGATCTGCCTGCCACTTACTAAGTTATTAACTATTATTAATAACTGTTAGATGAGTAGGTGGTGTCCTTCAGCCTGGGAAACTGGAGAACAGATTTTTTTTTTTTTCTTACTCTAATTACATGATCCAAGAACCAGGAGAGAGCTGTATGTGCAGCTTCTCCTGATAACTAATTAACACTGAAAGAACAATTCTACGTTACTTAAGACTAAATTCCAGATGGCGACTTTCAGCTAACATATCCTTCAATTTCAAGTGATCAGTTTTCAACAACTCGCACAACACACCCCAGGGCAGTTAATTCTTCCAAGTGACTTTGTGGAGGTATTTGTTATTTAATATCAGAAAATCCTCAAGTGGTATATCAAGGATTTTCTATGGTTGAAACCATTGGAAACAAGCATTAAAACCTGTTTTTAAAGATATCTTGGTTAAAATTATTTCTGTTGTAATTTACAGCGGTGGTTCACAAGGGGGTGGATCATCAGCAGTGTCCTCAACTGGGGACTTGTTAGAAATGCAAATTCTTAGGCCCCACCCCAGACTTCTTAGAACACAGAAATCTGTGGCTTAATAAGCCCTTGGGAGTGACACTGATCTTTGGCATGGATGGCACATAGAGCCACGCTTCCCACTGTACACCACCCCCTCTATTTTAGACAGACGTCATTAAGGAAGTTGAGTATCTTTCCTATGGAGTCTGGATAAGAACTCAGAATGCTTCTCAATGCAGTGCCCAGTGTCACTGCAAATCACTACAGAGTTGGCCTGACTGGTCAGAATATGGTGCTGGAGGTCCCAATTAAGTATTCATTCAACTACTTGAATTTCTCCTAGAAGAAAATTGGGGCCCTACTTAAAGAGGTTGAGACCCATGGCACAACAAGAAAATAAGTTGGATTTCTGAACTTTCAGAGCCAAATATCATCCCTGATATATACATGCCTAGTCACCACAGTATATTGAATTTTCTTCAATTAGCACAAGGCCTGCAGAACAGGTCCTTGCCAGTGCGTTTAACCTAAATATAATTGCCGCCCGGACTCTGTCAAACTATGTTAAAGGCCGAATTGAGATAGTATGAAAGGCTGTGTTAGCTACTTATTTATTTACTTTTGGTTATTCTAATATGCTAATTTATAAACTGCTAGATCCCCGCCCCCTCCCCGCCAATGTATGCACTAGGACCCGATTAATTTCACCACTTCTGGGCTGCTCCCACCTCCAAACAAACAAACAAACAAACAAAAAAACCAAAACAAAAACCCATATTTTGAATGAAAGACTCTTTGAGATGGTTTTCAACAGGGCACATATGCAAGAATTCAATTAAAGAAGAAAATACAAAATCAGAAGTTTGCAGAAATGCAAGTGTGTACATATACCAGAACTTTAGTAGGAGAATGTGGTTATTATGGTTAACCATTCTTCTTCGCTCTGCACTATAGAGAAAAATGATGGGTTAAATAATTTTCATTATCTGGATAAAAGAAAGTAATCCCACTTTTTCAGATGAGGCTCTTTCCTGGAATACAGCTATCAAGACTCCTACATGATATTACTATATTTGTTTTCTTGTTATTCAATGTCTTCTGAATCTTTCCTTTTATTTCTTTGTATGAACCCTTAATCATCAATATTCAGTGTAGATTGTTCATAGAGCTCAACATCAAACCATATTCAGATTTGTCCTGTTTTATCACTGTCTGTTTGTTGTTGTGATTCATTATGCACTGTATGACACTCTCAAAAGTTTATTTTTTAAAAATGGAACTTCATTTATTTTTGGCCATTTTGCCTAATACATTGACGTTAACTTGCTACAAATCTTCATGGAATGAGGTTACTTCCTTAATAAACTTCTGACAGATGGCAATTGCCATTAGTAACAGCAGTTGACATCCTGGGAGTTTAAATATTCAAAGCAATTCAACAAGGATTTATTTAGAATCTATTAGATAGCATCAATGGTGTGACTTGAGCTTCGTTGCATGTTGAGAGTTCTAGCTGGGAAGGTTAAACCAGCTAGGACCATAACTCAATCCATGCCCAAATCCAAAATCAAGAAGTCGGATTTGGAAAATTAGAATGGGACATGATAACAGAGCTTCTGAGCAACAAACAGTACTTGTTCTTAGGAGTCAAGTCCGAGTCCAAAATCAAGGACATCTGTTCAGATTGTGGCTTGGTCTGAAGAAAGAGGCTGGCAGAAACTAGGTGAATTCATGGCTGGATTTCAGTTCTAGTGGGAATTTGGAATGGGTACCAGCTGTCTGAGGCTAGGGAGGACTGCAGTAATGGGATGCATATGTTGCTGCCTGAAGACTAATTTCATCTCCAAGGAAATTAGACATTGAGTATGGGGCTGCAGATGAGATTCATGCTCCATTAAGGCAGAAACCATTACTTATCCCTCTAGCATCCAGGACCTCTTTCTTCCTTCTTCCCTGTTCTGGATCACATTTGCCCAGCCTTAGGCAATGGATCCTGAAAGGACTAAGCCAATCATAATAGACCTGTCCTCTGACTTCTTAGCTTCTTTTGCAGTATTAAGTGCCATGTGACTCAACTGTAGCCAACAAGACAGGAAAATTAGTTGGTGATGCTTTGGAGAAAAAAAGGTTTTTGTGTGTGTGTGGGTTTTTTTTCTGTTAAAAGGAACAGAACCAACTCAGTCCTTCATCTTTTCATCCTGACTTCCTGAGGATTTGTAACTGCTCAGAAAAAAAAACAAGAGAACCACAGAGATACCAGCTCTATCATGGAGTTGATAAGCTAATGCTGGAAGTCACATATGTCAAGACTGCTGCTGTGTAAGAATTACAACCCCTTTGTTTAAGCTATTGATAGATACTCTGATACTCATAATGGGAAGCATTCCTAACCAATACTCCCACTCATGATGGAAATCCTAACCACTTTCACATTCAGAGTGGAGCTTGAACATATGTGTGACAGAAGATGGAACAGACATGACACACTTATTTCATTCAGGAGAGCAGATTTAGGACATGGTCTGATCAGATGTTTGTTCTAGTTCAGATGACCACGTTTCAAGATGGTCATTTAACTAAGATTAGCCTAAGGTTCTTAAGGTATTGAAAAGCTGTCATAGAAGACATGATTGAAGTAAAAGAATCCTAGCAAAAGAATCCTTGGTATGTGGAAGGATACATCCTACATAGATACAGAATTTTTTAATCTTCACACCTAGACAGCTAAGTTTAGTGGGCACAAAACTGAGTCATGGCTGGTCCCAATCTGTGTTCTAATCCCTATTATATATGATCTTTTCAAAGCTATTAAATCTCACAGCTTTTCAATTTCCTCATCTTTAAGATGGAGAAAATAATAGTTATCGACATCATAAATATGTGTACAAAATAAATGAAATAATCTATGAAATGAATTTAACTCAGCATAAGACACATGGGAACTATTCAACAAAGTATATTTATATTGTTTCAAGAAGTAGTTAAATATTTGGACTCTAGAATCAGAATACCTGGGTTCAAATCTTGCATTTGTCACTTCCTGTCCATAGAACCTTGATTAAGTCTCAGTTTGTATATCCGTTAAGTGGTTAAGTGGAAGTAATGATAGCGACATCCTCAGAGGATGGTTGTGCAAATTTAATCCAATAGTGCTTGTGAAGCACTTGGCACAGTTAAATGCCAAGTAAATATTGGCCATTATTATTATTAGCTATACCTGAGCAATATAAAAGCTGTTTTGGACTTACTTCTTAATCTTAACTCTTGTTATTTTTGTTTCTAGAAACTAAACTGGGCACTTTGGCATGCAGATAATTGGGAGGATGAAGCAAGAGAATCACTTCAGCTCACAAGCTTGAGACCAGGCAAAAGAATGAGACCCTGTCTCAAAAAACAAATAAAAAAAAAACTAATGAGAAAATATAATGTTGTTCATGCAAGAGAAGACTAGGGAGAGAAATAAACAGCTGAGGATGGAAAGGTTGAGCAGAACACCATAGAGAAAGTTGGAGTTGAGGTGGCCCTATGTGATAGAGAGAGTGGGAATACTTGGCAGAATGGAGACAAAACAATGGATTACCTTACAATATTCCATTCCAGGAGATGGGTTTTTTTT